TCCTCTGAAGTATCCTCGTTAATAATATAGGCAGGCTTTAGTCGGTCGATTGATATAATTGTAGATTTCCTTCCGGGTATTTGTAATTTAAAAGTCTTTCTATTTCGCTCTAATACTTTATACGGTCCATTGTAAGTAGGTTGAAATTGTTTTTTCACTGCGTCGTTTCTTACAAAAACTTGCTTGCATATTTTCCAATCTTGATGAATGAATACTGATTTATTATTTCCGCGTGATGATGTGCATTTCAACGATAAGGCTTTGTTGATTTATTCTCGAAGTTGAGTTACAAAATCGTAATTCGTTTCTTGATTGTTTGACGATGTTGAAGTGAAAAAGTGTTAAGTAAAAAGTGTTAGCGGTGTTGCTGGTAGCCCAAGTAGCACTGTAGATAGCTCATCAATCCACTTTGTATGTTGAGGTAAACGAGTTTTGAGTGCAGTCTTCAATGTACAATGCCATCATTCGATTACTCTGTTTGATTGAGGATGGTATGCTGTTGTACGTGTCTTCCGTATTCCCATAGTTTGAAGAAGTTTGAGAAATAGGTTGCTTTCGAAGTTTCTTCCTTGATCAGTTGGGATGGTTTTAAGTGATCCGAAACGAGTAATCCAATTTTCATCTTCGCGACGGATTCAGCTGAAGTATCATCGGTAGGTATTGCTTCTGGCCATCTTGTTGTTCTGTCGATAATTGTTACGAGGTAACGATGTCCTTGCCGTGAAGTAGTTAATGGTCCAACGATGTCAACGTGCAGGTGTTCGAATCTCTCCGTAGGTGGAAATGTAGCTAGAATACTTGATGTATGCCTTTGTACTTTGCATTGAATGCATTGCTTCGCTCAGTTGCCAACATCCACTTGCATTGAAGGCCAAAATAATTTTTTAGTGATGAGTTTTCTTGTTGTTCTAACAACACCTGGATGACTGATGTTGTGAAGTGTATGCGTCATTGGCATTGTAACTTGCTTGATGGACAAGTTATATTGCTTCGATAGATGTTTAATGTTGTCGCTATCTCTGTCTTGTGCTGCGGTGATCTTATGATAGTCGATTGACGTAGGGCACGTTACACTGTCGATTGGTATGCGACTGAGTACGTCGGCGACTATGTTGTCCTTTCCACTGATGTGACGTATGTCGGTCGTGAATTCACTTATGAAAATAAGTTGTCTTGCTCGTCGTGGTGTTTCCGATAGCGATGGTTTCTTCGGAAGTACATATGTTAATGGTTTGTGGTCGGTAAAAACGATCAGGTTTCGACCCTCGAACGTTTTTCTGAAGTACTTGATAGCCATATAAATAGCGAGTGGTTCTCAGTCGAATGTACTGTAGTTACGTTGAGTATCGGAGAACTTCTTCGAAAAATAGCCACGTGGTTGCTATTTCCCATTGCTTTATTGTTGGAGTACGGCGCCTGCTGAGAGATCGGATGCGTCGCTGAAGATAACAAGTGTTGCTTCGTGTGATGGGTGAGCAAGCAAGCTGCATTTTGGAAGCAACTTTACAAGATTCAAATGCCTTCGTGGCTTCATCGTTCCATCCGATTGACGTTTTTTTTTTCTTCGTGTTGTGAAGGTAGGCGTGAATTGGTGCTTGGATTTCAGCGGCCTTAGGAATGTGTTCTCTGTAAAAATTTATCATCCCAAGAAAAAGCCTTAGTTCTTCGATAGTTTTAGGTTTCGCATAATCGATGATTGCTCTGACTTTTTCAGCAGGCGGTTTGATTCCTTCCTTGCTGACGGTGAAACCAAGAAATTGAACTTCTTTTTGGCCAAATATGGATTTCGAAGGGTTGATTGTGATTCCATCGTCTTCTTATCGCTGTAACACGGTGCGTAGATGGGTTTCGTGCGTTTCTTTATCAGGCCTTGCAACAAGGAGATCATCAATGAATGCGAAAACGAAATCCAGTCCATGAAGTACTTCGTGTATGAATCTTTGGAAGGTGGTACCAGCATTCTTTAATCCCAGAGTCATTCTTGGAAATTCGAATAATCCCATTGGTGTAATTATTGCTGTCTATGTCAATGTCTTCATCGCATACTCTTATTTGGTGGTAAGCTCGGTTGAGATCGATGGTGGAGAATATAGTCTTGTCTGACAGTTGATGAGTGAAATCCATTTCAAATCAATCATTCCATTCTTCTTCGGTACAATGTGAAGTGGTGATGACCAAGGGCTTTTGCTTGGACAGCATATTCCTTGCTCAATCACGTTTTCGAATTCCTTTCGAACTTGCTCGTATAGGTGTGGTGCGATAGGACGTGCATGGCAATGAAGTGGTGGTCCATTGTGTACGGGCTGATCTATCTCCGATTCTATCAACTTTGGTCCTTCGACAAACTCGCGTGTGTGTACAAAAAGTGTGCATTACAAGTGAGAGCAACCAGCAGGAGACGTGAGCTATCATCGGATTGTCAACATCGGGAGTCGGTGAGCTGCAAACAGATGAGCAGATCTGAACAAGTAAGATCTTTCCTTTTTTATTATCACTATGTCCAACATGGAGGATATTTTATCAAATCAACAACAATTGTTCGGGGCAATAGAGCAGACTTTTACCAATTTTATAAAGGATAGTGCCGATCGAAAGTAGGCAGATTATATCAAACGGAAGTTAGATACTCTAGACAAATACTGGGCAGAATTTCAATTTAATCATGGTATATTAAGTGGAATAGAGTATGCGAAGTCTCATTTCTCTTTTACGAGTAACCAATTTGAATCGTGTAGAAATAAATACGAGAAAATTAGATCAGCAATCGCTACCTATCAGGTTAGAGATGACAGGACTGCAACTCCAGTGTTGAAACCCGCTACACCGCTAGGGACGCCTGGACCATCTTGGCAGCCGTCGCCGCAGGTTACCCTGTCCCCTGTCCCTGATTAATAGCAAGACGACTGAAATGTTACGCAAGCAAACTAGTAACTTTAAAGCATTCGAACACACAGTATTCAATATCAACTTAGATTCTATATCAGAAAAGTGGGAATTTGATCATTTATTACGTGCTATACAATCGCGTTGGTCTATAATTGATAATATGCATTGGGAGTTAGACAGTGAGTTGGGGGTAGGAACCCAGATTATGAGTTATCATTTTCACATACGAAAGAAAATACAACGAGATTATTAAATCCATCAATCGTAAATTGTGGTCTGTATCATATCGAAAGCAATCAACCCCTCACGTAGAGATACCTACATTTAGTGGTAGCTACCATCAGTGGAGTTCCTTCAAAGACCTATTCACGGAAACTATTCACGGCAACCCGTCATTATCTAACGCACAAAAGGTGCAATTCCTTAAAACTAAAGTTAGAGGTGAAGCGGAGAGACTTATTCAACATCTACCAATATCATCTGATAATAATCCGATATGTTGGGACATACTTAACAACAGATATAATAATAAACGCTTAATTTTCCGCTCGCGTATCGATATCTTACTAAATATCCCCATAGTGCAACATACGTCATTAAATCATATAAAGCGTATTCACGACACAACCCTAGAAACATTAAACGCTATCAAAAATTTAGGGATTCATTGATTGTGCATCTCCTTTCGCAAAAGCTCGATGCTGACACGCATAATGAATACATGACGTCAGTCAAGGAGCCCCGCGAGTTTTCGTCGTTCGTTTTCGAGTTCGAGAGACCTAATTTGCATGAATTTCTCTCATTTTTAGAAGGCAAGTTAACAAGTTTGGAATCTTCTAGAAAGAAGCAATAACATCTGTAAAAAATATACATAGCAATAACAATTATTCGCCGCAACATTTCAATAATAGGTATCAAAGAAACTTGAATAAACAAGCCTTTCCGTTGCACGGTAAATTCACTTTACAACAATCAAACGCTAATAACAATACTTCTTGGAAATTTTATAAGTGTAGATTTTGCAAAACCAATGAACGTTGTCTTTATTACTGTCGTACAGTTTTTAAACATGACACCTTACCTAAAGCTTAAAACTGTATCAAGAACTGTAATGTTATGGAAAATTCCTTTATTCACATTATGTTGTTTAAGTGTATTGTGACTATTATATATATAAATATATTGTGATATTTTAGGCCTACAGTTTCAATAGAGGTGGTCTTGGTTTACACGGGCGACCCCTAGGGTAGATGAGGACAGTAGTGGTTTACGGGAAGGTTCCTTACGGTCATACATATCTTATGGGTTGCACTGCCAAGATCTAATAGATGGATAGATAACTATGAGCAATGTCATACGGACTTGGCATGTGAATTATTTGATATTGATTGTGTTATTTCCAAAATTGAATTTTTTTTTATTCTCTTTTGAATACCGGTCCCTATAAGTCTCTTTAGAAAATAGGTCCTGCAGCTATGATCGTCCTATCTGTTTAGTTCATAGTATTCCTCTGGATCTCGCGGCGGGTTTTTTTGGTGGGTCCCTTTTTTTTTAAATGGGGGGGGGTGGGGGGGGGGGAAGGGAGCGACGGGGAGAAAGGCGCGTGGGTTTGGTTTTTTCTTTACTTGTAACATCAAGAAGATCCTTTCTAAGTTCCGTATTGTAATGGACAACTACGAAACCCTACCTCTACACTATGGAGTGTAGAAGTAAGTAGTACTACAACATTGGAGAATAGTTGAAAAAGTGTACATCTGTAAGCAGTAAATAACAGTTCAAAAACTCTTCACTACAGCGCTCGATTAGCTACGGGGTATGTTAAATCGCCGTAAAATACGTTGAGAGTGATTTTGAAAATAAAAATTATGAAAGCAATTAAATAATTATTGTAAAAAGAATTATGGTGATAGTCTGTGCAATAAATTTTTTTTAAAGTTCTTTAAAATTTAGACTGTAGCTACAGTGGCGTCACCATTATTTAGAGCTTTCTTATGGACACTTTTTTTATACACGCATTTCATCGGATTTTATTTGTATAGATACTTCAAGGATACGTTGAGGAAAAATAAAATCAAAACAATACTTTGTAAATCTTTTATTTCATTGAAGTAATTTCAATGTGTTTCTGTTAAATTCTTTTTTGTGGCTTTATTTCTGTTTTTGAATGAGAGATGAAGAAACGCTTCTGCTATTGGCGTGTTATTAGAAGAACCCATCAAGGTAATTTCAAACTTGATTAAACCTTTTTCATATGGGAAGACGTTGGGAAAGTCGTCCAAATATACTGTAAAATTCTTGTAAGAGTACAATTTGCCCTGCAATAAAATATTTAAGTCAACTACCATTATCGACATAATATATATTCTACAATGGCGGTGTAAGACAATCCATCACCTAACTTGAGAGAATGAGAAATGCCAGAAAACTCTAATGGATTTCCTTAGATGGTGATAAAACCAAATCGTTTTCGCTAGGCGTAAATACCCACCATGCTGCAGCTATATTATGCTTATAGCACGAATGGGTCGGCTCGACAGGAGTAGGACCACACTCTTACGAAATAACAGTCTAAAATAGCAGTTTCATGTTGCTGTGTTTTTGTATGGTGAGTATGGAGAACCGGAGACCATTTTCACTGGAAATGAGGCATTCTCTCTTAGTCCTCGGGGGTAATAACGCATCTGAATTTAGATTCTTCATCGAGAATAAATATGGATATCCATGGACACGGCACGGCATCCACTTATTATCAGGTGGAATTTGTAATCGTTTGTACTCTCATTATATAAAGATAAGGTTCTCGAATAACAACGCCGGGCCCCCTTTAGAAGAAGACAGCCCCCGGTAAGAGATAAAGAAAGTCGATGGATGCCGATGTTCCAGGAATGTGCTTTGGAGCATTCATTGGGAGAGGCCTATGTTCAACAGTGGACTTGTGATGGGCTGTAATTATGATGATGATGATGATGATGTACTTCTTTAATACAAGGCGGTATAATCCTATTCTTTTAAGAGTTGGTTAAAAAAATAAAAGCTCTTACTGGTTTTATCGGACATTCTAATCCTCGTTTTTTAAACTCCGCTCCGATCAGCGGGTCCGTTAGAAAATCGCATAAATTGTAATGAAACTCAATAAAGCTGCGCTCGTACCGGTAGCTTACATATTCGTAGAACAGCAGATGTATCTGTAAGGAAAAGGAAACCAGTGTTAAAATAGCACGTGATAGGTATATAAAAAAATAGCAAATATCTAATATCTATCAAATGTTCTTTTAAAGTTCACAAGTCGCAGAGCTTTTTACACAAATCTAAATTGAATAAATAGTTTAGACTTTGACTACCCCCACCCTTGTAATGCTATCTATTTACCAGATATTGAAATTTGGATTTCGTGTTTTTGAATAAACTTTCCATGTATTGGCGTAGTAGTGGTGTAAAAATAACCACTACCCTATATCATCCCGTGGGTGCCCTAAGAGGCGAAAAAGAGAATAAATGAGGAGATGGGCAGCAGAGTCTTCCTAATGACGACTTAAAAGGATAATAAAACTGCCCTTGCCAATCCGCTTGCCAAGTGTGACAACTATTGCAAATATCTTCCTATTGAGCCAATCTATAGCCTCCTGAGGCCCAGAATTTTTTGTCCTCCTCTTATTCCTACATCCCTCTGTTGTCTAGAACGACCTCCTCGTGTTCTAGCTCCGCCTATAGTTGTAGAACGCCCCTCGATAGAATGACGATGAAGTAAATTTTTTGTTTTTAAGGATATACAACATAGGTAGTGAAATTCAAATATACCATAAATAACTATCGCAATCTGTAAAATATTGTTTGCACTACAAAGAAGACTATTTGCATTATAGTTTCACACCAAAGAATTAAAGATTACTTACTACGTGGCCGCCATTGTACGGCCATCTTTCGCAACAAGTAGAAAAATGTCAAAAATATGACAAGTTGCAAAAAAATTGGCTGCTTTAATTATTCAAGCAATATATCGTCTATGGTCTAATTACAAAACTTTGACTATAATTCAACAAATAGAGGTGTGATGAATTTTTATTTTTTATGTTGTATACATACTACTCTAAGCCTCAGGAGGATAGGGGAGGCCTATGTTCAGCAACAAGCTTCATTAGGGTGTAACAGTACAGATAAACTTTCGCCCTAAGTTGGTCGTCAGAGAAAGGATGACGAATGTTTACATCTAAATAAAACTTCGCCAAACGTTGCGGTGGTAATGCAGTAATGACACGTGAACATGCCAGCACTGCACTGTTCACCACAAGTTCGCCTGATCAGAATAATATGAAGCCATTGAAATATTATGTACTTACGTACTAGAACAGCTATCTCAAACAAAATGTGCGCCACTCTGTGTTCGCGCAGATGGTTTTTTTATCATAGAATAAACATAAGTAGAACGACCCGTAGGTAATAGTGGATTGTATTGTTAAGTAGGTAAATTATATCGAGAACAATATTTAAATTTTGTCATTTATTTTGTATATTATATTTGCTTATTTAATATAATATTAGATAATATTATATCATAATTACATTTTAATGATATTTTTGTCTGAATATTTTAAAAGGTATCTAAGTCGAATATAAAAAAAAAATTCTACATGCATGTTTAACAAAACTTATTAACATAACATTTAAATTACAAATATATTTATTTAAATTAGAATAAAAGTCGTTGATAAATGCTGGGCTCGCGAGAGTTAAAAATGGACGAATTTATACCACTTTGACTTTGATGTGGAAAACTAAAAATGAAATAAAAGAATAATAAGCAGATTTAAACATGAAAAATTATGCCAAATTATAATAACTTATATATGTTCCTACAAAAAAATGTGTATAATAATATATTCGTCCTATAGTTAAGTACCCACAGAAATGTCGCATCTGAACATATTAATTTCATAATCTATATTCCATGACACGAGATGGCGTCTTAGGAATAAATTGTTTTATTATTAGTACATAATACGTTTTTATTGATTAAGTATCTTATTAATGGATGAAAAGTAATTCCTTGGATTTTACTGACATTTCTTGAATTATTTGTGCAATATCTAAGTACACACGACGTAATATTTTTATCAAGAGATTTTTTTTAATCAACACAACACGTGACAACTCTATAAGCGCATAGCGAGTGACTGATTAAAGTGCGGTGTATGCACTGCAGTTGAGTGGAACACAGTAGTTGTATGCAGTGACGCCTCTAGTACGTAGTACATAATAAACCAATGTATGAAGCACATTTTTTATAAAAAGGCTAAATTTACTATTAGTGCAGTTTTGTTGTATTTTTTTTAATTGATGTAAATGTTAAAAGCGTACATATAGCCGACGAGTAGCCTTAGGTATTGATTCGGTCTGAAAACCAGTGTCGTAGCTGAGACTGAAACGTTTACCAGATTTTTAGCGAAATTTCTTACATTTAAAAATGTATTAATTTGTTTTTTTTTTTTGAAAAAAAGTTTTGTCTTTTGAATAATTTATTTACTTTTTTATACTTTGTGATGCATGCTGAAGCCACAGTCTATCTACTACTAATATTCTGTCGTCGAATGCATCTAGACGGGGCAATCGTACGTTTCGGTGCGGAGCGAGACACGGGCTGAGTCTGTCCTGAGCTAGGGTTGTTTTGTCACTACATGTGCGTTAAAAAACTGTAGATGGTTCTCATATAAAGATAAGGGATTAAATTTTCATCAGTTTTCAGATACACATGATTTTTTTCAAACGTGAAATAAAATAAAATCAGTTCTTTATTTTTTATTACTTCCAGTTCTGACAACCTTAGCAATCTATTATTTGTGTCGGTTTCTCCGACAAGATCAAACGCGATGACTGACTCTATGTCTGTATGTTCTTCTTAGACTGTGCTTAAACTGTACAGTACCTTGTAGTGATGGCGTAAATGGTAACTATGGTAAATATATGCTAAATATATGTTCAGTTTGGCTATTTTTAGAAAGACCTATATTAGTGATTTAAAGCTGATTTTAAAAGACATAAGAAAAAACAGAAATGGACAAAGTTTCGACACAAACATTACTTTTATAATATGAATCTATTACTATATGTATACATATTTAGGCTTTACTTCACCTTTATATTTTTGTCTTTTAAACAGAAACATTTAATATTGTATAAAAAAAATTTATTTGACGCTAAATGCTACTGTTACGTTATAATAAAAACCCAAGAAGGTTATACCGTAAACCACCACCAGCACTGGAAATTCCGAGTATATCCGTTAATATTTAAAAATAATCAGCGAGGGTAGATATTTATTAGACTAAGAATTACAATTACATATAGGACAAAACAGGAAGAAGATTGTATTATAAACTAACTTATATATATATGCAAATCGCCAGACCGGTTTCGCACTAGAGCGCTGTATTATAGCAAAAATTCTATGTATTCTAATCAACCGGCATTTCAGAACGAAAACTTCACAACTGTGAATTGCGAGAGCGCGGGCGCTATCTGAAAGCTACATATTCTTCTAAAATAAACTTCAAATTGTTGAGAAAGTGTACAATTAAAAAATGACTTGAATTTTAGTAATATTGAACAAAATCACGGTTAAATTGTCGAAATCAATGTTCACGGTTTACAAAATAAAGAACTAATCTTTTCGCTCGTTTGTAGTTGTTGTCGCAATGTTTCTAGTTTTTTTTTTTTTTAATTTAAAATATAAGAAACAAACTGATACATAAAGTGATTTTTTTATCCCTGCAGTGGAAACCACACAATTATCTACATCCCAGTCAATTTGTCAATGCAAGGTAAAATAGTCTAATTGGTCGGTAATTATTTGGGTTGTCGTATCTACCTTTCTTATGTGTAGGCCTAATAACACCTAGTTTTAATAGGTCGGGATTAGTACATGTTTCAATGGACTGATTAATTAAATGAGTAATATTAAATAGAGAAATAGATCGGTGCTACCAACTGCTTGGGAACCTATAATTAACAAAATTAAACCCAAACCCAAGCACACTACTACAAGACTTCAAGATACTGTAAGATACTGTACGTTCTGCGTAGATCAGACCAAAAATTAATATTCAAAAACTGAAGGTAGCCGGGCTAACTATGACATTTAGACGTCAAACATCGCAGTCCTCCCCATGACCATGGGTGCTGTAAAGCACCCGAAACGTCGGGAATTAAAAATAAGTTAAAATAGTTAATTAAACGCGATATAATCCGTAAATGTAGTTTTATTGTTCACAATATACCAAACTTTTAAATAATTGAAATTTTTAAATATTTAAAATTGGCTATTATCTGGCTTTTAATATGTTTGTTTTTTATGTAATTAATATAATTGTTGGTTTTATTTCGATACTTAATTTACAATATTTTATTTTCCAAGTTACTTTCATCCTGTTTCCATATATAACTTATTCTTAGTAGTACACATTTTTATGGGCCTTTTATTTATCCATACACAATTCCTCCTTCTACCTGTATGTACTTTTGCAGTTTATTGACATTTTTGTGAATATAGTTATATTTGTTAGAAATAAAGTTCACTATATCATTAGTACTATTGTAAATTAACTACTATTAACCCCTAGCTTCAGTCTACGTCACACAATTCATTTAGTAATTTGCGATGGTTTGTTTTATTACAATATTTAGTTTTCTCTTTTGTAATGAAGCCTAAACTGTCACAAAACTGTTTATATAATGGTCAGCTATGGAGCTATTTATCACTGCAGTATATATAGATGAGTTAGTAAATACTGTGATTGTCAAGGCTACGTTTAAAAATGTGATCAATACAGCTTTTGGTAATCGAGTTCCCTCTTGATTCAATCCGTGTAAACTGTCTAATTCCACAATCAAGGCCTACCTCACTCATGGTGTTAAGATATAAGTTAACATTTTTGACTCATTAAGTTCAATGTTTATATTTATGTCCCCGAGAATTACAAGATTACTTTTTGGAGTAACACTTGTTTGATTTCCCTGATAAAAAATAGGTGGTTTGAGCTTGCAGGCTTGTTGACACTTAACCAATAATTGATTCGGAATAGAATGTATCACTGAAAGTCCATTTAACGAAACACTTTTATGCACGTATAATATGACTCCTCCACTCCACTCTTTTGTTTTTGCGAAGCTGTGAATATATCTCGTAATTTTCTAGTTGAAATAAGGATGCGCACTCCGCTCTTACGTTAGCTTCTGTAACTATGCTGTGTATAATTCTTAAGCTGTTGCTTATTATGCGCTCAAGTTGGTAAAAGTTTTTTTAGCAATGTTCTCATGAAGCGCACATAAATAATTAAATTCTATGAGAGTCTTTTCCATGAATGTATTTCAGCTTATATATATATTTGGGAGATTTCATTCCTCCATAAAACTGATTGTAGTTGGATTTACATATAACTTATTTTTTTGTTGAATCATTTTACCTTTTTTTAGTTGCTAGATTGATCTCATCATCATCATCATCACGCCCTTACAAGTCCACTGCTGAACATAGGCCTCCCCCAATTAATGCCACGATAGCTGCATCATCGACTTCCTGCATATCTTACCAGGGTTCATGGGGGGATGCCGGGTAGAGGTCCCTCGGAACCTTTTTTTGAGCTATATGGCTGGCCCATTGCCACTTCAGCTTACTATCCGTTGGGCTATGTCGGTCACTTGGTTTTACGCGGATATCCTCAGAGGGAGAAACTCCGAGCATACATCCTTGCCAGTTCTGATCCGTAAGTCATGGGGGTTGTACACTTTAGTTTTCAGAGATTGAGGTATACCTGACGAGAAGATGTGTCGTAATTGGCTAGATTGAATGTGGTGTATTTTATCTGTTTTTTTGTTTTCTTGCCAATATCACGCCATTCTTACACCCCACGAACTTGCACAGATTATTTCGATTATTTCTTTTTATTTCCTTTTTTAATTTTCACAACAAATAAGCAGTTGCAGGTGTCAGAGATTCCCTGAAGTAAATCTTGCTTCCTTGCGAAATACCTATGTCTCGGCAGCTGACATTTATATTTTTTGAAGATTCAAACCACATCTCTTTGCACCCATCCCTCAACAATAAAATTTACTACCGACTGCGAGTTATTGCTGTTGTTAGAGCGAATTGTTTTTTTTTTTCTTTTTCTGAATGCTTTAATTATCTTGTGGGTTTTGGTTTATTTTTATAGCGATTCTTTTTGTTAAATCGAATAGATTCTTCACTTCCGCTTTATCAATACCACATATCTCTATGTTATTGATAATGAGGATTTTTTGTAACGAGTAAATTTTTTGTTCAATGGCTTGTCTTTTTAGTGACACGTTTTTTTATGTCTTTTACTTGGTTGTCCGTTAGTTTCATATTTATCTCGTACTCTTTAATTTTCTCTTGATTTTCCCCCATTTTTTCGGAGAAAAATTATAAGGTCGTATGAAGTTCTTGTTGCATAATTTCTCGTAATTCCTTCCTTATATCGGTGATTATTTTTCTCGTTAAGGTGTTGTATTGCAGTTCTGAGCTTGAACTTGTGTCTTCTTTCAAGTCAGTAATAATACGTGAAATTCTCTTCGGTGTCGCTGTACTATGTATGGTGTACATGCACGAGGCACGTACGGCATTCCCAATCAACAGCGTCGGTGCTATTTAAAAAGTTAAGTTGCTCTTCTGAGATTGCAGCACATCCCCATGTGTCCACTTGCTACATTTGCCATAGTGAATCCATGGGGATTTTTTGATAACAATTTTATTGCATATAGAACGCTTAAATTTTAAATTTTAGATTTTGCCAATGGATTAATCACGTTACGTAATACCCGTGACGCGGCGCGTACTACTCTTGTGGTTGATTTATTGTTTTGTAGTGTAAGCTGTTCAGTAGTGGAGGTACCCAGACAGCCTTAATTTATAACACTTAATAGATATTATATAAAAATGTACTTATTGCATACAAACCATTAAACTTTTGGAAAACGGGTATTTCGTTATAAATTCAAAATTAATGTAGTAGTCGCCTTTTCTCTCATATCGCGACACGTTTACGAAGGCATATTGTACAAGTTCTTCATTTAAGTACGTTATTCGGATTCTTTCAAAAATCACCTTCAGGGTCTGAAAAAAGAAATCATGTCATTAGTTTATTCTTGTATAGTTCCTAGACAAAACTAAACAAAAGCTCATTGATTGATTTCGTTGAAAAGTTTTAACAAATGTAGGTAGACTTTAACAACTTTCAAAGATGTTCAGTAATTTTTTACTTGGACTGCTGTTCAATTATAGTACTGTGATGTTGGAGAACCGTTGGTTGGTTCTTGTTTAGTTCAAGTGGGGCACGCGGGCGGCGTTGAGTCCATTCAAATGTATTCCTGTATTTTGTCGCTGGAATGACACTGAAGCATCTTATTTTTTCTTTAAATTACATATAATATATAACATACATAAACACTCACGCCTGTCACCCAGAGGGGTAGGCAGAGACTACAGACATCCATTTGACACGATCCTGACATACCTCTTTCGCCTCCTTTACATCCATATATCTACGCATACATGCTCGTCGGTTAAGGGTACTTTTAACGTGGCCCATTTTCAAAATATCGCCAATTTGGTCGACAAACTTTTTTCTAGGGCGTCCCTTCCCGACTCTGCCGTTCACATCTGCCATATAAATTTGCTTTGTCACTCTTTCCTCATTCATTCTTTCTACGTGACCAAACCACCAAAGCATTCCTTTCTTAATCCTGGTTACAACATCATCCTGCATACCACATTTATCTCTTATCACGCAATTTCTCACCCTGTCATTCAGATTCAACCCTAGCATACTCCTTAAAGACCGCATTTCTACAGCATTTATTCTACTTACGTGCTTCTTCTGCCACACCCAGCTTTCACTACCATACATTAAAGTAGGGACTAACACAGCATTATGAATTACCATACGTGCCTTTTTTAATACATTCTGGTTCTTCAAAATAGAGTGTAGTGCCCCATTCACTCTATTCCCTGCATTTACTCGTCGTTCTATATCCTTATCATATCTACCATCCCTGCTAAATACACATCACAAATACACAAACTCATCCACTTGCTCAATTAACTCTCCTTCTATTCTTATTTCACATACCGTTTTGCTTTCCTCTCTTTCAAAAACCATCACTTTCATCTTACTTGCGTTCACTTTCATTCCCCTTTCTTTTAAAGCCCAGTTCATTAATGTAACCATCATCTGCAATTCAGCCGCCGATGACGCAAATATGACTTGATCATCGGCATACAGAAGGCATTTGACGGTTAACTCGCCCATTCTTAACCCACATTCTTCATCTTTCAAAGTTTGCAAACACCTGTCCATAAATAGGTTGAACAGCCAAGAGGAAGCCACACAGCCCTGTCTGACACCTTTTGGGATGCCAAACTAGTCCGAGTAGACCCCATTGATCCTGACACAAGCACTAGAATCCCTATAAAGAGACCTCAATGCCTGTATCAAACCAGCGCTCAACCCATATGAGTTCAGTGTTTGCCATAACACATTCCTGTCCACTCTCTTTAATTTATTTCTAATATAATAACATATAACTTTATTGTAATAACTAAAACTGCTCAGTTATACCGCCTTTAATAAACATCCAGAAAACGATAATGATTTCTTATATTTACGCGAACACTACACATTGAAATAATACTAGTTTTTACGGAATTTATCGCGTATATTTAACTTTTTTAATTACCCGACGTTTCGAACGCTTTACAGCACTCATGGTCACGGGCAGGACTGAGATGTTCAACGTCCATATGTCATAGTTAACCGCGGTTACCATAGATTAAAATTTAACTTTTGTTCCGATCTATGCAGTATGAACTTATGGTATCTTGAAGTCTTGCAGTTGTATGCTTGGGTTGGGATTTAATTTTATTTATTATAGGATCCCAAGCAGATGGTAGCACCCAGCCATCTTCTCTATTGAAATTAGGATGTTTTTTGATTTCAATAGCCTCGCGAATCATCCTTGGAAGGAATCGGTGTTCTTTAGCGAGGATCTGCGGTCTATCAAATCTGATGTAGTGACGGGGGCGATCCTGTACGTGTTCACAGACTGCAGACTTCCCGGAGCGTCGATTCTTCACATCAGCTATATGTTCTTTAACGCCGGTTTTTATTGATCTTTTAGTTTGTCTTATGTAGGAGAGACCACATTCACAATCAAGCTTGTACACTCCTGCATCTTGCAGAGGGACATTACACTTGACCGATGGTAAAAACTGACCAATCTTCTTCAGCGGCTTGAAGTATGTTTTGATGGAAGCGCGCTTCAAGATGTAGCCAATCTTGTCAGTGACTCCTCTAACATATGGCAGTACAGCAGGTACACGCTCGACTGTGTGAACCAACGGTGATTCTCACCACCATCCTTCACAGTTAGCTACCATGGGTAAATCTTTGTTTCAGAGAGCACGAGGGATCTGTGACAATAAACACCTGGCTGCAGAGCTCCACCATGTCAAGCAAGTTTTGCACGACAACAAGCTTCGAGTCCCGCGCCTACGTCACAGTGAACGAGTGAAGCCGGCCACAGTCGAGCGTGTACCTGCTGTACTGCCATATGTTAGAGGAGTCACTGACAAGATTGGCTACATCTTGAAGCGCGCTTCCATCAAAACATACTTCAAGCCGCTGAAGAAGATTGGTCAGTTTTTACCATCGGTCAAGTGTAATGACCCTCTGCAAGATGCAGGAGTGTACAAGCTTGATTGTGAATGTGGTCTCTCCTACATAGGACAAACTAAAAGATCAATAAAAACCCGCGTTAAAGAACATATAGCTGATGTGAAGAATCGACGCTCCGGGAAGTCTGCAGTCTGTGAACACGTACAGGATCGCCCCCGTCACTACATCAGATTTGATAGACCGCAGATCCTCGCTAAAGAACACCGATTCCTTCCAAGGATGATTCGCGAGGCTATTGAAATCAAAAAACATCCTAATTTCAATAGAGAAGATGGCTGGGTGCTACCATCTGCTTGGGATCCTATAATAAATAAAATTAAATCCCAACCCAAGCATACAACTGCAAGACTTCAAGATACCATAAGTTCATACTGCATAGATCGGAACAAAAGTTAAATTTTAATCTATGGTAACCGCGGTTAACTATGACATATGGACGTTGAACATCTCAGTCCTGCCCGTGACCATGAGTGCTGTAAAGCGTTCGAAACGTCGGGTAATTAAAAAAGTTAAATATACGCGACAAATTCCGTAAAAACTAGTATTATTTCAATCCAGAAAACGAATTTAACAAGCATAAAAAACAAAAAAAAACATACAGATATGCCACAATCCTTGTTATATATTGTTCTTGAAATAACCGTTTTATTTTGGAGGAGGATACAGTGGAATACGAGATGACTATTTTGCAATTTTTTATAGTCATAATGTTGCCACCCGTATATTCTCTTAGAACCTGAGTTCGAGAATTAATTTCATGGATTAAATGATAAGACAAAAAGAATACATAAGAATGATACAAACAAATAAAACAAATATCATAATGTGTAACTCTTTAGAATTGTCAGGGGAAAGTTAAGACTTTACTTCTAGATTAGACTGAAGATTAAAACAATTTAATACATTACATGTTGCTTAAACAACGCTCTCTTGAAGAACTACAGACCGATTTCCCTTCTGAGCCGCGTCTACATGCTATTTTCGAGAGTCATTACGAATCGTCTCGCACGCAGACTCGACGACTTCCAGCCTCCCGAACAAGCCGGTTTCCGAAAAGGCTTCAGTACCATAGACCACATACATACCCTGCGGCAGATTGTACAGAAGACCGAAGAGTACAATCTGCCACTTTGCCTGGCATATGTGGACTATGAGAAAGCCTTTGATTCCGTCGAAATTTGGGCGGTGCTACAGTCCCTTCAGCGGTGCCAAGTTGACTGTCGGTACATCGAAGTGCTGAAGTGTTTGTACAGTAGGGCTACGATGGCTATCCGAGTACAGAACCAGAGTTCGAAACCTATCCAACTGCAGAGAGGTGTAAGACAGGGTGATGTTATATCCCCGAAACTCTTCACCGCTGCGTTGGAAGACGTTTTCAAGCTACTGGACTGGAAAGGATACGGTATTAACATCAATGGCGAGTACATCACTCACCTTCGATTTGCCGACGATATAGTCATTATGGCAGAATCGCTGGAGGACTTAAGCATTATGCTCAATGACCTCAATAGTGCCTCCCAACGGATAGGTCTTAAGATGAACATGGACAAAACAAAGATCATGTTTAATGTCCATGTCACACCTATGCCGGTAGTTGTTGGGAGCACTATGCTCGAAGTTGTTGACGAGTACGTTTACCTGGGACAAATAGTCCGACTAGGTAAGTCCAACTTCGACCGAGAGGTCAATCGACGGATTCAACTCGGCTGGGCAGCGTTCGGGAAATTACGACATATCTTTTCGTCAGGTATACCTCAATCTCTAAAAACTAGATTGTACAACCAGTGCGTGTTGCCAGTGATGACTTACGGATCTGAGACGTGGTCCTTCACTGCTGGCCGTATGAGGACGCTTAAGGTCGCTCAGCGAGCTATGGAGAGGGCTATGCTTGGAGTTTCTCTGCGTGATAGACTCAGAAATGAGGATATCCGCAGTAAAACCAGAGTGATCGACATAGCCCAACGGATTAGTAAGCTGAAGTGGCAATGGGCCGGCCATATAGCTCGAAGAACCGATAACCGATGGGGAAGAAAGGTTCTCGAGTGGCAGCCTCGTACCGGTAGGCGTAGTGTAGGGCGACCCCCCACTAGATGGAGTGACGACCTGGTAAGACATGCAGGAAGTCGATGGATGCAGGTGGCTCAGGACCGTGCTTTGTGGCATTACTTGGGGGAGGCCTACGTTCAGCAGTGGACTTGTAAAGGGCTGTAATGATGATGATGATGATGATGTTGCTTAAGATGGCGATGGATTGATTCTCAAAAATAAAAAGAGAAAAGAGTTAAAAATATTGAAGCAATACTTTGAAATCGTGTTCGAATGTGAGGAAGGCATAGTAATTTTATATTACTGTAGTCCCCTCGTTTTTCGGCTGTATAAAATCGAAAAATCATCGGATTTCGATGAATATTTTCTTTAAATCTTCGTTTTTACGGCTATTTACGAAAAAAAAATACAGGAATAAGAAATTAAAACTTATATTGTTGCAGGGCTTTAAATGTTCATGAAAATGCACTCATTCACATTTAATTATTGATAACTTTTTTACAAATAATCGAATGAAGTTATATTTTTTTTTTCAAAATCTACACAAAAAAAAACGAAATTTTAAAAAAAACATTTTTAAAAAATCATTGAAAATGTTTGTTTATCAATTTTTGTTTTGGTGTTTCAGTAAGGGAGAATCTCTTTTTATTTTTTTTTTTTGATTTTCTAGAGCCAAAAAACGAGGGCAAAATATAAAATTACCGAAGGCATCTGTAGTAAATTAACCAGAAACTCCAGAAAAAATGGCTACCTCCAAATAAGTGTTAATGAAATTATGAGAGCAATGGAAAGCTTGAAAGCATGTAAAGCAGCTAGGATAATAAGTGTGTGATAAGAGAAAAATGTAGTTTGCACAGAGAATTTGCGACCAGAATTTGCGACAGAAAAATGTTCCAGTGGTTTGGACTTTACGGTGAATGTATGCGTAAAGAGTGACGAAGATAGTGCAGATATGAGTGGTAAAGCCAAAAAGGGAACAAAATTGAGATATTTTGAAGATAAGTGTACTCCTACCCTTTCTAAGAACGGGAACATAAACTCTCACGCCTTTTACTAATAACAGGCGTGAGAGTTTATGTTCCCGGTATAATAAGTGAATTTATTCTTATTGGTCAGATAAATTAAGATGTAGTACAAAACCGACGTTTAAATTTTGGATCTATTTTTAATATTTAAATAAAAATAATATAGGCCTCATTTAATTCATTTATAATTACGAGAAAGTAAAGATTTAAATAATTATTTGCACATAATCAAATTATTCTTGACTCAATGTGGGTTAGATCTTTTCTGCGTAATTACATCCAATTTTTAACCGAACATTAGTTATTTTGAAATAATTTAGCAAATACTTAATTTATTTATAAGTGTATTTAAACTATAAAAAGAAAAAAGAAATCTTACAAAAGTCGAACCCGCACACATTAAAATAAAAATGCAGACTTTTATAAACCGTGCACACATTTTGTCTGAACTACGAATATGAAACGAATGTCCAGCACTTATTCGACATTGCGCTAATATACATATGTTTTAATAATAAGCTATTTTAAAGTGCCGGATATTAACTGTAATTATAGATATAAATTGATACGAACGAAATCGTTTAGAGAACAAACCAATATGTCTGAAATCTATTTCATAAAAATAAAATTAATTTTTGTTACTGAACAAATCTGATTTTATATATTTGTGCCTATGATCCCTAGTTTGGTCGTGTAGTGATAGTTTGAGAATCCATCGCCAAATTTGCCGTAAATGTGAGAAATTTGTCGGCAGCCAGAAAACTCTAGAAGTTTCAGAAAGAGAGCGTATCATGATCTCGATTACCTTTTGGAGCTGAATTTCTTTAGACCTTCTGGTCTAAAGAAATTCAGCTCCAAGGAGAATCCGGATTTTAGCGGTGGACTTTGTAAGTTGAGAGAACATTAGTTCTAAGCTAAGAGTCAATTCTAAGAGTATTGTCGACTGTCGACATAATTTTATGTCTTCGTTTCTTGTAAACGTACAGATAGACCTGCAATTGATCAAACTTGCATTAACCAATGAGATGTCTCAAAATTAGCTAAACCATAGAGTTTTTTTTTATAAAATTGAATTAACTAGAAAACTTGCAGTCCACTTGATGATAAGTCTCTACTGCAGCCTATTATTATTATGTGCGAGCAGCTATGCAGGTCTAGGGAAAGAGACCAGTATCACTGGGACCTAAAAGGCCTATTGTGGTCACTGATATGGCTATAGTTCATTGCTAAGCCAGCCCTATATCTTCAATGAATAGTAGGAGTTGCTTAGCTGGGAGCAATTTAACGTCTTCTGGGCGGAGTACAAAGTTTAATAGATGAGTGTTACGTTTGCGCATTAAGGGTTTGCGATCAGTTAGGATTTTCAGAGGTGTTTCTTCCATTGGGGAACATCACTGGCACACTCTTGAGTTGCTTAGTTCCAGGATGTACGTGTGCTTTTTAAGACAACGGTGTCCAATTAGGTCTCATGCCAGAAACTACTACTGCAGCCTAAAGATACTTAAAACTAACTTCAAATGAAGAAAGCTACAGGTGCGTTTTCACCACTGCGGATCAAGATAAAGTGCCTCTCTGCCTGAAATAATACTGATGATGTAAAAAAATACCTGTGATTAAAGTCCATCGGCAAGTCACCACCTACTCATTTACGACTCTACTTTCTAATTATGCTGACAAATGTGTTTCAGTGTTTGTACTTCTGTATACCGCCATGGAGTGTATAGAGAGCCAGTATATCTACAGGCTGTTAGGCATTGCATCGTGGTCTACGGAGGTAAAAACGCATCGGTAGCATTGTTTAATGTTGCCTGTAGGTGGCCTGTAACCACTTACACTCACTTATGAATATTTATGCGTTAAATAATTTGTACGAAAGCATGCATTCACTCGTTAATAAAATTATCACACCGCGGGCGGTACCCGTCATAAACAGCGAAATAAAAAGTATCATGCAGTCTATTAACCTGGTAAGCCATTTAAGTGTGGTACAATACCAAATAATTAGTAAAAAAAATTACTGAAAACTCGTATAGAAATTAAAAAGCTGAAACTTAAAAATACATTTAGCTCTTTTTCATGTTGATAAAAACATAGGTACAAAATCGCATTTTTACCATATAATTCCATAGATTTTATATCCGCAGAAAATTTACGTCTATTCAATGATTTCTTACATATACGTGAACGCTACACATTTGAATAAAACTTGTAGTAGTAGTAGTGTTGTAGTTTTTACGGATTTTATCGGGTATATTAACTTTTATATTCCCGACGTATCGAACACATGAACACCCATGTTCCATGTTCGACGTCCCGATGTCATATTCACTATGACATAGGAACGTCGAACACCTTAGTCCACGGCTACACATAGATTAAAATTATTAATTTCTGTTCCGATCTACACGGTATAAACTTAAAGTATCTTGAAATCTTGCAGTTGTATGCTTAGGTTGAGATTTAATTTTATTAATTATAGGATCCAAAGCAGATGGTAGCACCAAGCTATCTTCTCTATTGAAATCGGATGTTTTTTTGATTTGAATAGCCTGGATTTGTAGTTTATCAACTCCGATGTAGTGACGAGGACGATCCTGTACATGTTTACAGACTGCGGACTTCCCGGGGCGTCGATTCTTCACATCAACTATATGTTCTTTAACGCGGATTTTAATTGATCTTTTAGTTTGTCCTAAAAAAGTAAATTTACAGCCTATATACGTCCCACAGCTGGGCACAGGCCTCCGCTCATTTCTGAGAAGATTTTAGAGCAAGGAATTGTCCGCCACACTGCCCAAATGCGTGTTGGCGAACTTCACATGTCTTCGAAATATATGTTTTTCTTATTTCTCTGACATTTATGTCACGATATTTTCCTTCACCGCTGAGCACGTGGTAAATCAGCACTTAAAATTGTAATTAACAATTTCATTGGTGCCGGCGGGGATTGAACCTGGTTTGCTAGCCTCCTGTGAAATTTACAGCGAGGGCTAACCATCTGAGCTACCACGGTCCTCCACGGTTCTCACGGTTATCCTATGTAAGAGATACCATATTCACAATCAAGCTTGCATACTACTGCATCTTTCAGAGGGATGGTAAAAACTGACCAATCTACTTCAGTGGCTTGAAGTACGTTTTAATTGAAGCGTGCTTCAACATGTAGTAAATCTTGTCAGTAACTCCTCTGACATATGGCAGCAAATTAGGTACACCTCGACTGTGGCCGGCTTTATTAATTACCTGCAGTTAACTGTGACTTAAGCGCAAGACCCGACGCTGGCTGTCATGCAAAATTTGCTTGACGTGTTGGAGCTCGGCCGCCAAGTCTTTACCGACACAGATCCCTCGTGCTCTCTGAAACAAAGATTTACCCACGGTAGCTAACTGTGAAAGATAGTGGTGAGAATCACAGTTTAAATATATATCGGTATGGGTCTTTTTTTACAACTTGTAGCTCAAGGTGTTATCAGGATTCCGAATTATTAACAATAAAAGCCTCAAAAAAATTATTTGTCTTTGTCTGAAAAATTCGCCGAAATTGCTTCTTTCACTTCTTCATCACTTAAACACTTTCTCCCACGAAGTTCTTTTTTAAAGTTTTGAAATAGATAACATCACTGAGGGCATGGTCAGGATTATAAGGTGGGTGTCGCAAAATTTCAAGGCCCACCTTATTTAGGACAGCCATCGCAATATGGCACTTGTAAACAGGCGAGTTGTCGCGCAGAAGAAGGATTCATTTGATCAATTTTCCCTCCTTTTTTAATTTATTGCTTCCTTCAAATATTCTAGAATTGAAGTGTAGTAATTGCCGGTTGTAAGACATCTTTATTTTTATAATTAATCAATAGGATTTCTTCGGAGTCCCAAAAGACTGTCGCCATGATTTTCCGAGACCATTTTGCCACCTTAAATTTCTTGGGTGGGGGTGTGCCTTTTTTATGCCAATGCATAGAGTCCTGTTTGGACTCAGTTCGTAATGATGAACCCAAGTTTCGTCGCCAGTAACAATTCGAGCCAACACTCCATCTTTGTCTTCCATACAGAGGTCTAAAAATGCACGAGAACACTCCAGGCGCTGTTGCTTTTGAGGCGGCGTGAACATTCTAGACACCCATCTTGCGCTGACTTTAGTTATGCCAAGATGGTCATGAAGATATTTGAAAATGGTTGTATCTGATACTCCAACCATTTCTGCGAGCTGTTTTTTCTTTAGGCGGGCTAATCTTTTAATATAAATTTTTCGACTTTTTGAATAATTTCCGAAGTGGTCACCTCGATCGGCCTTCTTGGCCGTGGGTCGTCTTCAAATTACTCTCTGCCTTATTTAAAAAGGTTATGCCACTTGTACACACACAACAATAGTCTTAGTCTGAATTGATTTTCCGCGCTTGATAAGGAACTTAATAACGCCACTGAACTCGATTTTCTCCATATTTCACAATTTCTTCCTGATCGACTTGTTTGGTTGAATGGGAGGGACCACTTATTACCAACCTACCCTTTCCGCGAACTTAAAAACGCACCCTCGCATATGACCAGAATAACCAAATGTATTTTGGTCTTTCCAAATGATCTTTCTAAAGGTTCAGTAATAGGCCTTATTAATATTTATGTCGGGATCGTCTCAGTTAGAACCCTTATTTACGTTGTGTTTGTTAATTAACTTAGTTGATTAAAACTACTTTTACGGATTTTATCGCGTTTTATTTATATTAATTTTAATACCCGACGTTTCGGGTGCTTTCCAGCACCCATGGTCACGGGGGACTGAGGTGACTGACGTCCCGGTGTCAAAGTTAACCCGGAGTACCTTCAGCTTTTTAATTATTGTCTTTGGTCCGATCTACGCAGAATGAACTAACTGTATTTTGAAGTCTTGCAGTGGTATGCTTGGGTTTAGTTTTAATTTTATTAATTATAGGATCCCAAGCAGGTGGTAGTACCCAGCCTCCTTCTCTATTGAAATTAGGATGTTTTTTAATTTCAATAGCCTCACGTATCATCCTTGGTAGGAATCGATGTTCTTTCGCGAGGATTTGTGGTCTATCAAATCTGATAATTGTTGGTAATTGTTGGGGCCATCTAGAATATGATCGCAAACTGCAGACTTCCCGGAACATTGATGCTTCACGTCAGCTATGTGTTCTTTTACGCGGGTTCTAATTGAAACGTCGGGTATTAAAATTAATATAAATAATACGCGATAAAATCCGTAAAAGTAGTTTTAATCAATGTATAGTGTTCGCGTAAATATAAGAAATCATTAAGTAACTTAGTTCTTAGGTGTCTTTTGGAAGAATGAATATTTAATGATTTCTTATATTTACATAGATCGGACCATAAACAATGATTAAAAAAGCTGAAGGTACTCCGGGTTTAATAATGACATTGAGACGTCAATCCTCTCAGTCCCCCGTGATCATGGGTGCTGGA